CAGTGCAATTGTTAAATGTAATAAGTGATGGTTCAAGTATTTAATGTTATAATTATATTTTAATGGGGAACTTCATAATAATATTTGATTTATGAATAATTTTAAATTTCATAAAACCTTCATAAATAGAGTACTGTGTTACCTCTTTGAAGCACATCTGTAATAGAATTGTACGTAAATCAAACATTGTTTATGTATGTTGGGTCATTAAAAATATCACCATAGAGTGAGACTTATCTCTGTCATTTACTACTAAAACACATGTACTACTAATAAAATAAATACATGTAGTGATATCGGTAATATTGACTAACCCAAACTAGAATACATATAACTTATTTGATAGTGTTCCCATTCATTGACCATATTCAGAATTACTTTTCAATATTCACATAAATAACAAAATTGTCATTGGCAGCTAGTGATTACAAAAAGACTGTTTTTACGTATTGTACATGAGGCATTGTACTCAGACCACACCAAACAAAGTATGACTTCCATTATGCTCTGGTATGTATGTTTGTGTGTGTACTGGTATTCCTGCAAAAGAATGATGCATCTGTAGTAACCTACAATACAAACTATGACATGATTTGGGGAAAATTGTGGAGCACAATATGCTTTCATATTTAATGATCAATTTTTCCACCAAATAAGTGAATTTCTCATCAATTGAATAGTACCCCTAAGCTAGTGATATCTTTGACTTGTTTTCTCTATGCAATCATTGCTGTCCAACTGTGCACAAATGTGACGCAGTATTTTCAAACATTTCAGGCCTCTATAATAGAAGTGCATTTGAATAACTACTTTATTTAACAGATGTATAATAAATGTTTTGTATTTTTTTTGTTGGAATGCGAATGCATTTATTTTTTTGATTGGTTTTATTACCAACCTTTGTGAAATTGGAGACCTTATGGTTTGTTTTTCCAGGATACTAATGTGCTTACCATATAATACATTACCGGGTATGACACATACACCGCCATATGGTCAAAGAGTCTGCATGTTTCTTACAGTTGTTTGATATGTTTTATGTACATACAATGAACATCACAAGAAAAATGATTTATACATTTTATTTTAGTGATTCAATTGTTTGGTATATGTTTTATTTATAGTAAACAGGGACTATTAATTTGGGATCGTTCCGTCCGCACGTATGTACGTACATACGCTATATCTTGGTCACCCATTGACAATTTTCATTCAAACTTTACATGAAGAAAATACATAATGTCTTACATATGCACGTCAAGTTACTTTATGATCGGAGAAAAATTGACTGACTTGCGGCCATTTTGGATGTGAAATTTCCTATTTCTGATACCTAAACGTGTTCGCAGCAGTCTCTTGGAGATGACTGGGTCGATTTGGATCAAAGTTGGTATGATGGTCGTACATATTGGGTTGTAGGTGCACATCATTTTTTTTTTTCATGATTCAAACAAATATGGCCGACTGGCGACCATCTTGTTTTTCATGGTACCCATGCTACTTTATCTTGAATGCAATGAACGTTTCTGTTTAAATTTTGTACAAAATTAGTATACCAAGAGATACATCTGCAAAAACATGATTTTTGTAATTTGATTCAATATGACTGTCCAATTCTTATGTAGAAGCACTAAATCATAATTTTTCACAAATCCATCTCCTATTAATGGTTTCAATATAATCTCAATGACTTCATCAGCAATTTTAGACGAGGACTGTGTCATTAAAAATGACTTGTTGAGTTTGTATCCTACGCATTTCCTAGTTTTACTCTATTAAATTTGAACCGTTCACAAACTTTTGTATCAGTCAGAATTGTATCATTTTGGTAAAATAATTATAGTTGGAGAAAACACTAAAACATCACACAATTGATATCTAAATTACCAACCTGGAGAGATAATTTAGAAATTCATTAACAACAATCAAACATTCAGGGCTCAAAATTGAGATGTTATGTCTACAAACAGACAATTGTAGTATAGTTTATTGATTTACTAGTAAAGTTATAAACCAATTACGGAACAATGTCAACATTTGTAGCAAGATTTTAATCTGATTTAGATTAACAAAACATAACAGGTATTGCTATTTATTTTAGTTTTGAATAAATTTAACATCAGAAAGGTCTGGGAGATTTGATCTAATAATTTTCCATTTCATCTCAGTGTTATTTTCATTTTCTGATTAAATTACCTGCCTAGTCACATTTACTGCATTCAGATGAATGCAGATTTCTTGGCATGTGTGGTCGACTAGCATTGTCAAGAAACCTTGTCTGGTACAAGCCAACAATAGCGACTGTTTACGGTCGCTTCTTGGACTCGGACCATCCTCGGCATGCACCTTGTTATGTCTGTCTGAAAACTGTGTTTGGCCGTGTTACTGGAGGAAAAAAATTATAAAATAATATAATAGGAGTAGGTTGCATATAAACAAAAATATAAATTCCAGCTGTATTTACAAGGTTCAATTAATTGTGAAAAAAGTTTTACCTGATGGCCTACATTTTGTACCTCAATTAGAAGTTACATAGGGCTGCCTGAACAGTCTCATTCTTTGAAGTTTTTTCCTGCAATACATTGTATTTTACCACACATACCTTTCACTTTATTGATTCTTTTTATGGCAAATTAGAAGAACGTGCTATATATTTTGCAATTTACTAGTATTGTTTTATGATTTTTGTTGACACTTGGGTATTGACCTCAAAAAAAAAAAAAAAAAAAAAAAAAAAAATTTGTTACGGTCTGTATTATTCCTGGCAATCTCCTCATATTTTTTCGACAGTATGAAAATCTGTGGTTACTTTCAACAGTTAACTACGCTCTGATAACAAAAAACATGTCTTAAAAACACCTTTACAGCAATTTTTTTGATTCTTTTGTCAGCTCATTCATTATCATGAATATTAATTCATGCAAATGAGACATACATCAATCACAGCATTTAAATCCAGTTGTGATTTATCCTCAGAATGAATACAACAAGGATATACCTTTTGCCAACTACACTTTAATCAGCTTTTGCTAAACATAGCTTTTGTTCTTCTCTACCATTTGTTTACAGGGTGGTATCTCAATTACTAGCTGAATTAGATGGACTTAATAAAGCCAATGATGTGTTTGTAATTGGAGCTACTAATAGACCTGATCTGCTAGACCCTGCTTTACTCAGACCTGGAAGGTTGGTTAATTACAAATCTAATTACTCCAGTAATAAAATAAATGCTCTTCTGGTTTTATCCCAGTGTATATGAACTTCCCCTCACAAAAAACAAACTTAATATGGTGCTAAATCAATTGACCATGTGTACTTTGTTAACCCATGTTTGCTGACAGCATTTTTAGTCCCCGTTCGGACGCAGTCCGGGAACAGGGACTTATGTTTTTGACCTCTGTGTGTGCGTGCGTGTGTGTGAGCGTGCGTGTGTGTGTCTGTGCGTGTGTCCGGACTTGTATCTTAAAAATGCCTGGACCAATCACAACCAAACTGCACACATACATCATACGTGATATTATACATATGCACGTCAATTTGTTTCACAATCTGATTCAAGATAGCCAAATGGCGGCCATTTTTGTGCTAAAAATCATCAAAATCAAGCATTTCTCCG